CTGAACGGCATCCTGGCAGATGAAATGGGTCTGGGCAAAACCATCCAGACCATCGCTTTAATCACATACCTCATGGAGCACAAACGGATCAACGGACCCTTCCTCATTATAGTACCTCTCTCGTAAGTGCCGTGCCTGAATCCCGCACAGAAAACGCGTGGCCTGCCGGCGGCAGCTCCGGGCCTCCGCAGTGCGATTCCTCGTTGCGCAAGAGCCGGTTTTACCGTTTCTCTTTCTTTTTCTTCCCCAGAACTCTGTCGAATTGGGCGTATGAGTTTGACAAATGGGCTCCTTCTGTGGTGAAGGTCTCGTACAAGGCAAGTACCAGCGTTATTTTCACACGCGCTTACCGGGCTCCTTCGGCTGCTCGTTTCGTCAGGATTCCTTGGATGCCAGTTTGCCTTTTCCTCCTTCCAGTCTAACAATATTTCTATTATCCCAAGGAAGCTGGGATGCTTCCTGGCGCTAAATCAATGAAATCCGCATTTGTTTATCATTCCTTCAACGGCAGAAGGAATCCAGCTGCTACCGTCCGCACAAATGTTCTTGCTGCCTTTCTGTAACTGGGACAATTGTTCCGTGCGGATAATAACTACTCCCACCGCCTCTCCTGGAAATCACGTTCTGGTTTAACATTTCCGTTTGCCGTTCCTTCTCCAGGGCTCTCCCGCAGCAAGACGGGCGTTCGTACCTCAGCTCCGAAGTGGGAAATTCAACGTCTTGCTCACTACTTACGAATATATCATCAAAGATAAGCACATCCTGGCCAAGGTGAGTCCTGCCAGCGGCAGGCAACAGCAGCTCCCCGCTCCGTGTTATTCGGGCTGCGGCAGGAGGATCGCCCGTCCTCGCTGCGCTCGTGGGCGCCGCGCAGGCGTCACCGAGACCGTCCCTGTCAGAAAAATCCTGCCCTCTTTAGGGAGATTTCTACCTCTGGAGCCTCCCGTCGTCCCGTGGCAGGAGGCGAGGAGCTGCTGCTTACCCTCAGCAGCCAGAACTGATGGAGCATTCTCGTTATTTTTGGCTGCATACCCTGTGATACAGCAAATATTTTTTTTTCCCCTTTTAATAAGGCAATTCATAGGACAATGAACGTTTTTTAGAACCCCTACAAGACCGTCACTGCCCTTCTGCCCTAGCTGAGCAGTGGAGGGTTTTTCCCGTACTGAGCCGGCAGCCAGAGGGTAAAGATCAAATGTTGAGGCTTCCCCTGGGCTGGAAAAGTTGTGCCGCTTCAAAAGCAGGCAGACAACACGCCAGGTCAAAACCCCGGCTTTAACGGGCTTAATCTTGCTCAGAATCAGTTCTGCGGCGCCGCTCACCTCGGTGACGGGGGTCTGCCCGGATCGTAAGATGCGCTGAAGCCGACGTGCCTTACTTCGGCGAGGCTTCGAAGGGAACGGTCTTCTCCCTTGGCGCTGCGGAGAGTTACACGCAGTTTGATTCGTTAATGGCCAAAAATCTCAAGAAGCACCGAAATTCCCCAAAGCTGGCGTCAGTCTGTCAGCTATTTGGCAGTAGCTTTCTTCCTTTTTTTCCCCCCGCCTCCTTCCGCGTCCGTCTCTGAGCCGGAGACGCGAAGCGCTCCTGACGGGAGCAGTTCCCAGCAGCTTAGGAGAGGTTGGAGTGGGTTTC